CAGCAGGATCCCCTTCAGAGTCACCCAGGACACTTAACGCAGGCTTATTCAAATTCACAACTTCCCAAGAAGAATTTTTCTTTAATTTCTTTTAAGAAGGTCTTTTAGACTAGAACAGTGGCTAAAAACTGTGCCAGATCTCCTAGAAACTTAAGAATGGTGGAAAGATGCTGTGCAGTAGAAAATGTTACGCAAGAATCTCTATGTATTTCCTGAAGAAAGGATCCTCTTTCAGAGTGCCTTGTCTAGAGGTTTAAAATGGATCTACCTACTATGCATATGACCCCAAGACTCAGTCTACATAGTAGTCCTCTGTCCTCACACTGTAGAAAGGCACCTTTGCAAAAGATCACCACCGAGTCTGGAAGGATCTGTTTTTCTTCTGATAGAATTGATGTTAATGTAAGAATATATCTTTTATACTAGGAGATTTTCCCATTCTCCTATTGCTTTTAAACAGAGAAGACCTTTTATAGCAGATGAGGCAGCGATGCATACAGAAGGGAATGGTTTGTGATGAAGATCCAGCAGTGTAAGCGTAATGGATAGTTGAATGCGTCCACTCCGTATGAGTCTGTGTGAATGCAGCTTCTTGTATCCAGAAAGCACTGGGCAGTGTGTGTCATCACTGCCACCTAGAGAGTATGAGTTCAGGATCTTTGAGAAGAATGAGTGAGAATCATCCTTGCTCATTCATCTCTTTAATTGACAGGCTGCAAATGCTGATTTAATCTAGCCTAGGGATGTAAGGACAGTTGTTTCCAGACAGGGTAAGATTTTTGTTGCTGAAGCCAGGTTCTGACCAGCTAGGAAGAATGTACAATCAGTTCTTAAAGAAAGAAGTTTACTTTATAAGTAGCCCAGTTACACCCACCAGTGTATCGGAGGATAAATCGGCTGCATGCCAAACCTTGGGTGGCGGTGAAATGAACTGTGAGAGCCCAAAGACACTCTTGCATTTGATTTATATTAAATTTTGGCTTTCCGAACGGGTGAATGTGTGTCTCCAGTGTTTCAATACTGCTTCAGCCACTGAACCTGTCTTCTATGTTCATGCAGGAAATCTTCCTCACTAAGCCTAAAAAAGCTGAAGGAACAGAAGTCCTTTAAAAGGAAACGTGGTATCAGGTGTCCCTAGGGCGCAGTGCTTTCCTTCCTTTTTATAGTCCAGTCATCCTGTATGAGAAGTGAGAAATGGGAGTGTAGGCAGATTCCAGGGTGTACTGAGAGCAGCTGAGAGATGGTGGAAAACACTTGCTGGGAAAGACTTCAAAAAAACTTGATGGTGGCTACTAAAACATTTATTTTATTGCTAAGCTCTGATGCAGTCAGTTGCATCTGCAAGGATTTTTTTGTTTTTATTTTAATTATTTTAAAGAATGCCTGTCTAGGCCTAAGGAGAAACTGAACCTGGATAACATATCTGATGAAAAGAAATACGCAGAGAAGACTTTTAAGTCTTCTAGAAATCAGTAAGTTAGCAGATTATTATTTTACTTGCCGAGGAGCACCGCTGTTACTTTGACTGTATGGAACAACACTATACAGTATTTTTGGATTTCCAGGATTTTATATTAAACATACAAAAGCGGTGTCATCAAACTTCTAGTGTTTTCATGCCATTTACTTAAAGAGCATCTTGTACGTGACCTTGGAACTACGGTTGTTTTCTTTCCTAGGTGGTTATGCAGTGTATGTCTGGGAAATAGTTCTTTTTTTCCTTGTCTTGTTTCAGGTAAAGCTAGAGTTGCTAAAATACTATAAAGTCCTGTGCTGTGGAAGGCTGCAGGAGTATTCTGGGAAGGATTCTTACATAATTGCCTTGTGTTTATACTGTTTGTCAAGCATTCTCAATTAGAATAAAGATACCAAAGAGGTGAACATTTGGTGTAACCTAATCCAGCCAGTTTATCTCCAAAGAGGTCAAAGAAAAATGCATTTTAATACAGGAATGGCTCCCGTGGTTTTTCAGAGCTCTTCACATAATGCTGACCTGCAAAGCCAGGCTATATTCCTTTCACAGTGCTTCATTACTGGAGGACTTGGAAGGCAAATGTTCATCAGTGTGATACTTCATAGCCCCGAGTGTCATGCTCGACCTGTGGACTTGAGTGCAAGACCGGAGTCAGCTGGGTCAGTTCCATAAGCCAACTGTGTGATCTTGGATAAGGCATTTTGCTTTTCTGTGTCCACTCCATGTTTTCATAGTTGAGGTGATGCCTCCTGCATTTTTGGCAGAGGGGCCCAAGTTATTTTGTTAATGATTGTGTCTTGAAGAGGCAACTCTATAGTATTTTGCATCTGAAATTACAGCTGTCTTTACTTTACCCTTAAGCTTTGCAATATTTGAAGCATCTCTGCTGCATTAACATTTGTTTGAAAGGAAGCAAGCAGTGTTATTAGGAAATGCTGTCATAGCTCCATCAGTCCGTTTCCCTTTATAGAAGCCACAATGCAGTCTTAGTGACATTTAAAAAAATTTCTTTCTTTAGGATTTCAGTACTGTTTAGGGTTTCAGTGATGTCTCTTATTACAGCGGTGTCAGGTTTGGGTCAGGTCTTTGCTCTACTAGTTACTATAATACATGTGGCTGGACATACGGTCCATGCCCTCAGGCATTAAAGATGTACAGCAGTGAGGGAGAAAGGAGATGTTCTCAACTGCTTGGAGTTCTCTGTGCCAGTGTTCTTGCATTAAGGAAATGTGGCTCAGTTTTGGTAGAAAATTGAGCTCAGCTCTGACCTTCTGTCTCTCTCTGCATCCTCTCCTCAGCTTCGTGCCATGCGTTTGAGATCGGTGCAAAAGGGGTGACTGGATTTGTGGTACTGTATCTCTTTGGTGTCTGCCCACCTATATGTAGTGCAGCAGTGCCAGGCCCAGGCTGGTAGACGGCAAACTGCTTACAGGATCTTCCAGCATGGTTCTGACCTCAGGAATGAGCTAAAGACAAAGCAAAAAGGGAGTGCGAAGTACAACAGTGCCTCTAGAGCAAAACTTGCTTAACAGCATTGGTCTTGAAAAAGAAAAAGCTGAGGATCAACTTCTAAAGTGAGTAGCGGGATGAAGGGACCCTCGAACTTTTCTCAGACCGTTCAGCAGAGCAGAGGAAAAGTCTCACTTTTGGGAGCAAAGCGAAGAATTTCAGAGTTGTTTCTGTGGCAGGGTGAACGCAAGAATGTTTCCATACAGAGGCAGCAGAAATCTCCGTGTGATCTCTGCTCCTTTTAGGCTTGGCACCTTCATCTGTAAAAAGATCCTCCTGGGATCTTTTTTTAGGTTAGGAAACGCAATCCCATTCCAGACAGACCCTGCCTCCCGGGGGGAGAGAGCAGGCGATGGCCAGTCTCCCCCATCACAAACTGGCCCTGTCCTGGTGGCTGCTCATCCCTGCTCACATTTTGTCCATTAACCTGGATGCTGGGCACTAATTGGTAAGTTATTCTAATCCCTTCCCTCAGGCTTGGTCAGTGGAAATGCATTTATTGGTCCCTGGGCTGCCCATCTTCTGCTTTGAGTAATCGGGGTGGGGGCAGAGTCACTGAGGAATAGCCTACAAAGGATCTCCAAGGGATCCCTGCAAAGTTCAGCTGAAATTATCTCCTGAGTCCCAGCAGCCACTTCTACGAGGACTCGCTCTCCCGAGACCAGCAAAGGC